AAAGATCTTCATAAAAAGAAAAACTTGAGTGAAATCACGAATTCCGTAGATGTCTTCTTTGAAATTCAAATTCAATTCAAATAACAGTACAACACATATCAAAACGGTTGCGTGCCTTGTAACTGGAAGCTTCCAGCGTGTCAGTATTGACGTCATCGAGTACTTAAAGCCATTACATGAAGCTACAACGTCAACCAGATTACTTTCAGGGGGCACACAGTGAGTATGAGATAGACATGATCTGATTTGGCTTGTCATTACGACATAACAGACTTAGGAAAACACTGTGGCTAATGCATCAATTAAAAAATAAGTGTCTCGTAAATGATACACAAAGCAGGCCCGTGTTGTAGTTTAACTCCATAAAGCAGTATTTGACCAATGCCCTGTTGATTTAGTTCGGTGTACATTATCCCAGCACATGGGAACACTCTCACGGTTCCTGGTGGTGGGTCTGTAAGTTCACGGTCACCACAGGCAAGCTAACGTGGGAGAACTGTAACACTTCATGCCTTGCCAAAGCTAGAATCATAAAGAAGACGCTACGTTCACTTCTTATACTATCATGAAAGTTTTATAGTATAAGACGCCACGTTGTTACGTTCAGTCCAATATAAAGTAAACTTGTTATGTTCTAGATAGATAAAAAAAACGGACCAAGGCTGATATTTACATATTGAATGTACTGAATAAGTTGAGTCACACGTGTTATACCTCTCCCGCACATCGTGGTGAGTGTACATCCCTGCTTCTCAATGTCACTTCGGACAAGTATTTCGGAATGAGTTTATATCGCCCAGTCAGCTAATGTGCCTGCCGGAGGTGAATGTACTCTACGCCCACAGTTAAACCACCCCGGACCGCTCATCATGGCCGTCCTGAAATGTCAACGTGGGCGTTCACGCTCTGTGGCCGACATCGTAAGCTAATATTTATATTCCCATATGTTCCTTTGGCGTCTCGTTCATTTTCCCATTGGATTCTCTGGGCATTTCCCCTCTTATCAATGGTCCCGCGAGGCTCATGAGATCCAGAAAAGCCACCAGAGCTGAAAGCTGCAGGCAATCATGGCGGGAATCCGGTCGTCTCCCGGCCGGCCCGGTCATCACGTGACTTTCATGATTCCTCCCGAGTAATCTCTTCAACTTTTCAATCAAGAACTTCTACTTTTAATCTTCGGAGATGATTAGTGCACAGACAGATTTTCCGCTGATTGGATCCGCTAAGTGAATGCACCATGTAACGTTGATGATACCAGAATGTCGTTACAATTTCATTAACTTCCTGGCTGTCACATATTACACGATGACCAAAAACAGCCGGATTGTCATAAAGATGATGACGATGTATTACAAGATAGAGAAAAACCAAAAACATAACGGTGCAGGTGAGATAAGGGAAATTCAAAGGCTTGTGTAATCTCATCGTTAAACATACGCGATTGACTAAAACTTTGACTGACATTTATTTGTTCCCAGCCGTAGCAGACACATGAGTCGTGGCTAATATTTCATTTAATATTGACACTGCAATCATTAACGTAGTGACGCAGAGATTCGCTAGTGCAGCGAGATTAAAGTTTTACGCACCTTTTAATGACCGTGACGTCCGCTTCGATGACGTTCACGATGCTGATATAGACCTGGGCTTTCCTATGATGACTTCTGAAACAACGGAAGTTACGTAGTCTCATCTTGTTGTCTCGAACTCGGAGTAAACATCCACATCCACCTCAGGAGATGAAACAGGATGATTATCTCAGAACAAATCTAAATCTTTAGATGGTACGTTGTTGTCACTAGGAGAATATTTCAAAGATCCTCAAACGATTACCCATACTTCAGATTTCAAAACTCCTATTCCCCTGGAGAACCGGTTTGGTCAGCTGGAGGGTCAACAGCCATTTTCTGTATCTAATGAGAGGAACTTCAGACACTGCCTTTTTCTGCCAAAGATCCTATGGCCCAGTGACTGCTTCGGCTTGCCTCTGAATCAACTGGCTACTTCCACACCGCAAAGTCAGCAAACCCTACGTAGATCACAACCGTGGCAAGTTTACCTCTCTCTGTCCTGCCGGTGTAACAACTGTCCACATCATGCCAAGGTTCCCCAAGATAGGAAAAAAAATCAAGCCCAAATCCATTTCATTCAACTACCTCTTTCCTGTGCCGCTCTTTGGGACTCTTGATCGTGTCTCACAGAGACGTCTCGCTGTCCAATACGCTTAGCAAACAACCCAATGGTACCCAATCTTTTGAATTCCGCATAAATGGTCATCAATTTTCGGTTTCACGTGTATGTCATGATCTTTAATTGGCCCATGGCTTCCATCAAACATCTGCGACTGTTAGACGTAGATTGTGTGATTGTGTGCGCGCGCGCACGTATGTGGCTATTTGAGCTTTACTGACCGTGACTTTCTAGCAACTCATGGCGACTGTGTGGACGACTGCACATAGAAATGTAAGACGGATTTGAACCATTCCGGGGGACATGGCTGACCCAAAGACATTCTTATCCTTACTATTAAGCACTTATATCTCCACAATTGGTTACTTGGGAATTCTGGCCAACATCCTCACGGAGTAGCAGAGAAAAGTTATCACTTGTATAGGGTATAACGCCCTCGTAATGGCTGAAGGCTTCCATATCCAGCCCTATTACATGTAGTCCAGGCAATGATTCACCTTCCTACTTGACAAACAACGCACGCCCCAGCTATGGCTTTCTTCTCTGCTATTAGTTTTGAGATTTTACGCTATGCAGGTTTACAACGCTGTATGGATCGTAAACTGCGGTGAAGTGGCCTATATCCCATAGTTCGCCCCCAATCTTCTAATGGAACCTGCATTATTACGGACCTGGAGATGAACAAACTGCGTCGCCACATCGTTATATGTTTTTTTAAGCTGATGGCTCTCCAGTTACTAACACGCTGCAAGCCTCAGCCGAACAATCATTTGTATTTGGCACACGAATCACACCGCATGCAAGATATTTTAACTTTTAGGTCATACACAACAGGTAAACTCGTTACATACTGAAACGAAGATGATGAAAGCGACCAGACGGCATCGTAATGTGTAAGACCATTGCTCAAGATAAAAACGATTGCTGTCGACCTTGTGCTATGCCTTGGGTATTTCTTTCTGTAAAATCACGTGGTAAAATTGAGTAGCGCCGGTTAATCCAATAGCAGACAAGGGACCACAATATCTTTTGTTTTCAGTGTTCCGCTTTACACGTGTAGATTAAAATTCTCCGGTGCCAACCGTTCATTGTGACGCCTTTTGAGCGCGGAAAGTGTTTCAGTCCAAAAGTATTATTGAATTCCTAGCCGTTTTAGTATATCATTTGTTTCCACTCATCTATGGACATTTTTTGCCCAAGTTTTATAAAGTCTTATCACAGGAACACGCACTACTCATTTTCGTGTAGGTGTAAAGAGCGAGCGTGGATAGACCAATATCACAAGCAGAAACGACTGGAACAGGCCGGAGACCATCTAATATAAGACCGTCACATGGATGAAAATGTTACATTAATGAAAAATCCCCACCAATCGGCGGTGCCGCACAACCTACTATCAACGTAATTGGCTGCACCATAACAGGCCGTTATCAGGTCCAATTACTTACTGCTGTAATATTACAGACCGGATTACACATGGCAGTAATTCCCATCTCACCCCTGCCAGATTTCTTCAAACGAGCATAGGGGGAAAGGTCACTCGTATTCTGCCAGCCCCTCTGAAGACCGCTGTCGGGTATGTGTTGCGAACTTTCCCTCGGAAATCTGATAACTGATCATCAGTTACAGCAGTGACCCGGTGTCACTGTGGATCTGTTTCAATTATCTTTTCTCTTTTCAACTTAAACGGCGCTATGATGGCAGTAAATCACAGTTACACAACATAATGAGCCGGAAAATTAGTGAGAATCGATGCATAGACAGCACAGGCCTTGCTTATCAATTGCTTTCCTGTGAGCATCACTGAGACAAGAAAGGTCCTATGCTGCCTCGAGTTTGCCTGTGCTCTGCCGCCAGTAAACCATTACGTTACCATAAGTAGGAATCCGCGCCTCGCCAAAATGGCATTATTCTTTCTCTGCACTTTCAATGCAACACATTCAAACTTGTACTGTCAACTAAGACATGCATAAATACACGTCATACCAACAGTTCCACATCGTTTTTCTTTACTTCCTCGAGATCTAGAAAGCAGCCGTTTCCACAAGATCCGGGAGCGAAAACGTTTAAACCGTTGTCAATGAGTTATAGTTACCTTTTGGAATGACCGCGGATTGATCACCTCTGCAAATGTCCCGTGGCGGCTGATTCTGTCAGCCATGTGTTCCGTCGCTTGGATGAAAACGCTTGTTCACATGTTAGTTTGCGTTACGTCACTGTGCAAATGAATCATTGGTATTCCTCAACCAAGCGTGGTTGACCAGTGGCATACCCTCACCCCTTACTTGTTCATCAAAATGCAGAAGGGATGGCAACAGGTGCTACGAGATCAAAGTTTTAGGATCAAATATAAATTAGGATCAAATATAAATTAAAAAAGGCACGTACATTGCTTCAGACAGGCACATCTACATTATCTGCATGAAAGTGAAGGTTGGCTGATAGTACCGTGTGTGGGAGTACTTTGAATGACAGAACTTAATTGCGAGACTTAACTGGGCTCTAGTGTCCCGGAAGCGCTGTCATCCGTCTATGTAGTAAGTCAGTTGTGAAGCTAATATTTAAGCTTTCTTAGGACCACCACACGTGACAGGAATCTTGCCAGAAAACATTCCATTCTTTCACAGTCCCTATACAATTTACGCCAGGGTGATGATGAGATCCAAGTTATATCCAACATTTATATTACTGATGTGGTAGAATTAAAGTACTTTTTCATCGATCAAATGCAGTTTATGGATCAAGTAGATATATATGACTGTTTCAAATATTCAAGTTTTTTTCAAGTTTTTACTTTGTTGTACCACCAGGTTGTTTAAAGACGACCCCCAGCTCATGGCCGTCTTCAACCAGAAATTCCGCCACCTGAGGGAGAGAGACGCAGACGTCTTGTACCAGGACGCCATCTTGGACGCGCATGCGGCGACGGTGATGGAGGCGCTGCACGAAGCCATCACGCACCTGGACGACTCGGCGTACGTCATGAAGGTTTTACACGACGTCGGCAAGATGCACCAACGGTACAACGTCGACCCTGGCGTTTTCTTGGTAAGGACAGGTTACAGTCCCAAAATCATTCCCGCTATGAGATAAGCCTCCTACCATTGTGGTCTCATCGTGGTAGGCCCTGGGATTATTTTTCCCCTTCATGCAAGCATTAAGAATCCTGTATATAGAACCTGCCTACTGTCTCCTCCAGTTGCCTGAGACAGTTCACGATAGGCAGGTTTGTATGGTCATGATGAATGTACTTTAACACAGGACGTTAATAGAGACAAATGCCCAGGGCCTCACGGTTCACGTTCATGCGTATCTTCTAAATCAAGTAATCGTCAGCCGTCTGGTTTTCTGTGGCCACTTTTGTTGCCAGGTCTAAAATGTTATTTGGTTTGGCAAAATATAACATGCAGGGCACAAATAGTTTCAAGTAAGGTATGGTGCACAACAAAAAGCGATGAGAGATTTGGAAATGGAGTCATTATGGATTCCATCTCGATCTCATAATCGTTAGACGGATGGTTCAGAAGTTCTCTGTTGGACATGCAGGGCTGAGCCGTAATCAGTGGCTCGATGTGCCATCCATTACCGGTTCTTGCCGCGTGCTTGAGCAACTTGTGTTCCCACTACCCTGTGGGCGCCGTCACTTTTTTCTTAGCCCGCTGTTACATCCAGTCAGCACAGTGCCACTCTACATTACATGGCCAATAGGTTGCACAGTGCTGGGGACGTAAAAATCCGTGACTAGCCTCAGAACGACTGTACCAGTTCATCGTTTATTGCCGTTTTCTGTCCCAAAGGGCTACATATTGTAACCGCAAACTAGGGCATTTCTAAATATAAAGTACATAGAAGGGTCACACTAAGCTGGCCCTTTTTGTCTTACTTCCTATTACTTGTGAAAGTGAAAGAAACAAATGAGTTGACACAGTTACAGCCGGGAAAAAATCTTAGAGGTACGTCACCGTCCATTGATTTGTTTCGTTCACGACGGCTTATTGTCTCTATGGCTTTTGTTGAAGCGATTACATGTAGACTCTAGATGTAAGGCGTAGGTGTGTTTTTGTGGGACTTTCGTGACTGTGTGCAACACTTGAAAAGCCCATATAGTGGGGCAAAAAAATCAATTAACAAACTAGAAAGGCCGGCATTTGCTCAAGAGCAAATACAGCACATTTCACCCATTCTTCCTCCCCATTCCAAATTTCCCCTAGAGAGGCTGGCACATTTGCTCAGGAACAATAAAATAAATAAATAACTTTATTGCACAACAGTTGTACATGGTACAAAGTATGGCAAAACTTATCTATAAACTTAACTATGGACTAAACTAACTAATACAGGAGTTTGTGGCTGATATAGGATGTGAATGAACTTTTACAATATTGGAGGAATTTCTTATGGCTAGACATTGTTTGATATACATTCCTATATTTACCATACATGAGTTATCACAGGTCATTATTATCTTAAATTTGCTACTTAAATCCATCGATGTAAATTCTGGTACATATGACGATAGTTTCGTATTTAATGAATTGCGTACATCAACATACTTAGGACATTCCATCAAAAAGTGATACTCATTCTCAACTAGTTCTGGGCAGAATGGACAAACCCTCTGGTCAATAGGAAGCCTTTGAAATCTTCCGGTTTCTATACTGAGTTTGTGACATCCAATTCTGAGTTTTGTGATTGCTCGACGTATGTCAAAGCTCCTTATGTTAGAAAGGTAATTTTCTTGCTTGTAATTCTTGTCTAAGGTGGAAAGGAAAGATAATTTAGAATTGTTTCGAATGGCACAATGCCAGTTTTGTATATAGATATCTTGTAAACGTTGCTTCAGCTGAGTAGTAATTGAGTCTATGTGATATGACTTCGGGTTAAGCCATATGTGCCCAAAACCATTGAGGTTCAGAATGTCTTTCACATGTATAATCCAATCATGTTCTCCAAGCAAGGTAGTATTGTATGCCTCCCGAAGCAGGGCATCTTCGGATAAATTAACTAAGCGATGCCAGTATTTAACGAGTTGTATTTCTGTATTCACCGTAACTGGGAAAGTTCCCAATTCTCCTCTGACACCGTCGTTTGGGGCCTTGGCATGTACGCCTAACAAAAACTTATGAAAACGCATGTCAATAGTGTCGAATTCTGGAATATGTTGATTTGAATGTAGGTTTATAATTTGGAAGCCATTCTCTTGTAAAACTTTGCTATTGACATGTCGCATTAGCATTTCTTTATCAGTATTTCTTTCTAAGCAAACAATATAAGTATTATTTGTGGCAGAGGATGAACTTTTCCTGACAGAAGCGGGAATATTTTCTTGAATATCAAGCTTCTTTAGAAGGGAGGAGAAAACCTTGGCAGAGGATTCCTGGATACTGCCGGTGTGTGATACAATAATCTTTATAGTTTTTGAAGATCGGTCAAAGCATGTGATTTCTGAGCCGTACATGAAAATAGGTTTTACAATGGCAGCATTGCTTCACCACATCCCCAGTACCAAAAACGGAACTAACCCTGGTAGAACCCGAGTGTTCTATTTAGAACTGTCAGTTGGGGATTGGGGTTTTCAAGCTACAGTCACTGTTTTTACTCAAAATAAGGTAAATTTAAGTACTTTAAAGGGTTGAATCTGAATAGTGAACACTATATAGTCTAAGCATTTGGTGCCAAGCTACCTTTATGCTGAATTTCAGGTCATTTGGTTTTGGTATTAGTGCATAGGAGCCAAAAATGTAACCTTTTTGGTCACAAATAGCAAAAAAGTCCAATTTTACATAACGTTACTTTTAAAGTGACAAATGCAAAAAGTGTAAATAAAATTCTGTGCGATTGTATCCAAGGATCTCCTACACCAAAGTTCCGGTCATCTTAATATTAGGGCACAGGAGCTAAAATTGTACATTTTTGCCAAATTGAAAATAGCCAAAAAGCCCCATTTTACACAATTTTGAAGTGGTGAATGTCTAAAGTGTGAACAACATTCTTTGGACATGTGTCCAAGGTATCCCCATACCAAATTGCAGGTCATTCGGATTTAATATTAGGGCACAGGAGCCAAAAATGTACTTGTTTGTCCGAAAATTATTAAAAATCCCTATTTTACACAATTTTAAAGTAGCATATGTTAACAGCTTGCATATCATTCTGTAACGTTAGACATGTGTCCAAGGTATACCCATACCAAATATCAGGTCATTAGGTTTTAGTACCAGGGCTCCAGGTCACAAAATGTATATTTTTTGCCTGAAAATGACAACAACAAAAAAACAAACAAATAAAACAATTTTAAACGCCTCAAAACGCCTCAAAACGTTTCAAAAATAATGATAAAAAAACAACGTCTGGGGGTATTTTCCCACTCTACCTCCATGCCGAATTTCAGTTCATTCGGCTGAAAAACGGCTGAGTTGAATCCGGATCCCTTTAAAGAAATGGCAGGAGAAGAAGGAGGAGAAACATGAGGGAAAACAATACATTTCTCACATATAGTATGGGTGAAATGTAATGAACAAAATACACACAGAAACGAACTTAAATGAACATGGTGAGGAAATGAGGATGTACCATTTGAAAGATACTGTAGCTAAAATAATGCTAGAAAGGCACTCAAGTGCACACCAGAGCCATGCAACGTCTGAAGGATGGCGAGGCTCCACCTCCAGACTTCTCACTTTTTATCAATCTTAACTGACGAGGAGCAATTTGCACGATACACCTAAATGGGATGAAAGTGATCTTTGATCCCCGTAAATAAGGACTAGCAGCAGAATCCCCTCCTTCATTTAGCCTATTTAGTGGAGAAGACTCGGGTACGTGGATAAATCATGGTTTACTGCTCGCTTCGGGAGTTTCAGTTTGATGTACTCACCTATTGCTCACTTTTATACCAGTCAAATGACTTCCAAAGTCTGGCAGCCTACCTTGCCATTACGGGAAGCCCCGTGAAAGCCCGCGCCATTAGCAAGAGTCCTAGAAAGGAAGATAAAGGCCCCAAAATATCAACAAAACTAGAGTTCCAAGATTTCATACCGTCGCCAAATGATGTTAACATTTACGACGAACGAATTATACACCTTTTTCATTGCAAAATTACATCAGTTGATCATGTTTTCTAACCAAGACTCCATTCTAACATTTCCTAATAAATCATGCAAATAATGTCCAGATTTGCACGTGTAACTGTGTTCACCTTCACTTCCAAATACAGCAATAGCAACAGCATACAGACAGTTACCACCATGAAATTATAGCATTTCTCATTAATTATGCAAATCAAACCCTGGTCATCTGTGAATTGCATGCACCTTCGTTCTGTTACTCTGGAAAAGTCATTGCCCCTCTCATTCATCCCCTACATGATTCAAGTTTCATTTCCTTTCTTCCAATGTTGTACCTATATTCTATGACTTTAACGTTAATAAGTCTACTTATTGAAGTTTCTATATAAAAAATATTGATAGTGAATTAAGCCCTCTTAGTCTGCGTTGTAATATTGCCGTAAGCAGTCATTTATCGTTTGGCGTCTTGAATATTTTAAATATTCTCCGTTACTGCAAGCAGTATTAGATAGTTGAGTGAACATGGATTGTAGCAAGCACAGTGTGCATGAAAGATCTGTAAGAAATTGAAGAAATTGAAGACAATTGTTAACACAATCGAGCCGATATAATATCATATTGATCTAACTTGGCATCAAGGATGTCGAATGCTTTCAAGGAGTATCCTTCGTCCATCATTTCTGTTCTCTACCCAGATGTGCATTTAGGTAGTCTGGAGTAATATCAGAAACTGCTACAGAATGTGGTGTGCGGGCCTCCTGGAGTGTCTGGACAGATATGGTTTCTGGAAAATTGTCTTGGTAATCAGACGGAAGGATCTGAGTTTCGTTCGGGGATACTCGTATAACGTTGCACAATAATGCGCGTAGAAATCAACGTGAATCACGAATTCTCTTTCTCATTTCGCTGTATGCTTATCTATTTTCTGCAACCCAGTTTGCTTGATCGTCAGATTCTTGTATGCATTTTCGTTCAAACCTTCCTCCTCAATTTTGCAGAAGTAGTCTCGCCCCTCATAGTACCCGTTCCATCATGCCTTGATCTGACCTCGTGTGAAACCTCTGTGAAATGTGGAATCTTTCGCATTATTTCTGGGTAATTAGGATTATCAATTATCTTCTATCAGAAATTGGCACTGACTGTTAAAAATACATCTTGCGAGAACTTCAAGATGTGATCATGATTAAAAATGTATTTTATTTCCATTGATTGCCCTATCATCTGTGTCCACAGAAAGTAGAAAAGCCCTTCTTGACGGCTGTGAGTGAAGTCCTCGGCGACAGGTACACAAAGAACATGGAGGAGATCTACACCATCACGATCAAGTTCATCCTGCAGACGCTGTCGGAAGGCTCGACCATGGCGCTGACAGAGGACGAGGAGAAGAACCTGAGCCGGCTGTGGCGGCCGCCCGGCAGGGTGCACAAGTTCGTCAGACCCGAGAAGGTGGCCGCCATTGTGGACGCCGAAGCAGCAGAGAATGGCGTGCACTGATCAAAGAGATTTATAGGATTAAAACAGTTGAAGCCTGAATAGACTTTCGGGTTTGGCACAGTGCTGGACAGGCCTTCACTCGTTTTGTCTGGGGCGTGATGTAGGAAGCGCAAGCCGCTGTTCCAATCAACGCACCTGCGCTCTGTTAATGACCTTCCTCAGCGCTGGAGGAGGGATAGTGAGGATGCAGAAGACTGCTGATCCGGATGTTGATGGCCAACACGCTACACAGCCCTCATGTTCTGTTGTGTTTAGTTTCAAAATTTTATTGAACTGCAGCTAAGAAAGCGGTATTGTCTTAGACAGGTTTCATTGCCAGTGTTTCGTCAATTTACAGTCAAGAGTCAGTTTGCTTTCACATCAGTACCTACACAAACTGTTCTAAAACATCTACATCACTCGCGATTGCGTTATCCGATTCACTTATGTAACGCGCACACGTGTTGAACGTAATTCGTCGAAGACGATTGAGCTACATCCAATTGCTTTTAATTTAGGTAAACCGTCGACTTGTACTTCGCTGTGGCGGTAATGTGATATTCCATGGAGATAGTTCGGTTTAATATGATATTCCATGGAGATAGTTCGGTTTGCTTATATTTTTATCTCAATGATGGCGTGACTATGGTACAATATTTTAGATCCCCTGAAGCTCAAATGTATACATTGTCGAGGCAAAGTTTTGTGACGTTTACAGTGCATACGCATGTAGGTATTTCTATCACATTGTTCAAATCCTTCTGTCGTCTCGTGTGATTTTGTCTCACATTCAGGTTACGACTACACGCCATGGTAGGATGGTCCTCCGTCCAACTGCAACATGGGGCGATCAATCAGATTAGCTTATAACAGCATTACTGGGAACTTTGCCATTTCCTGATTTCTTAACACGTAGGTCTTCATGGTCCTTTAGCGTCATCATCATCATCATCTCCCTCTAGAACGTCTTGATCCTGAGTTATACCGACTACGTCTGGTTTTGCTGCATATCAACTGATTTCTTTACGACTCACGTCATGCTTGTGACTCAATTAGGTTAGAAAAACATTGTCTGCCGCAATGAGGGACTGTCATTTCATTAACACTACCTCGGGAATAGCCTGTGTATACACAAGCTCTCGGCTGGAGGTTAATGACCCCCACCCCAACCTAGGGCGGCGGCCGCCAGGAGCGCGATTTAGTCAGGCTACCTCGGGAACACATCCAAATTTAATTAGACCCAGTTCCAGACAAAGTAGGTGCTTGGTTCAGACGGATAGGATTGCTATTTTTCTGTGGACACATTTTTACTTCCATTACATTGAACAATTTACTTCGATTACATTCGATATATGAAAATACTGCGTATCATTTATACAGCCGAATTGAGGGAATGGGGTAAGATATTGTTTTAGATAAGAAAGCCAAAATTTTGGTACAAGTTGGAACCAACCGTGGGTAGAAAGGGGGTAGCGGTCTGGAGAGCGAAGGAACACCGACAGAGACTCCGTGGCGCGTGGTCAGCTCCTGGGGGTTAGCGCACGTCCCTAGAACTGAGGAACTGGTCCAGGAGTCACACTGCGTGCACAGCAGAGCCACCATAATCATCAACATCGTTATCATAACTCGGCAAAAACTAATTGTCAGTGTCTACAAAGGGCTGTTCTGCATTAGAGTCGTATTGGAATAACCTCTGTGCCACAGCTCAATAACCACTGTTTGCTCCGCACGTCAAAAATAATCCAACAGATCACCTTTAGTCAAGGGTCTACTCTGAAACATTTCTCTACCCCATTAAAACTGTGGATGTAAAGCTTCAACTCCCAAAAAAGGTAATCTTTCGCTCAGGACTGCACATCAGTCGTAATCTTATGAATCTGGTGACTTATGCAGAAATTTAAAAGCGTTAGAAATACTAGTATTTGCCAGAAGGAAGATCAAAGACAGACTATGTTACCTTGTTGGATGTTGGGATGGACGATTATAACGTTTTCTGGTTGCAGAGTTTTTCCCGTTATGATCTTACATCGCAGCATCTTCTTATCTATTTGAATGGACTGTTAAAATCTTCATTGAAGTTCTTGCTATCAGGTATGGCGATGTCAAGGACCAGTAACGGTCACCTCGCAATCCCACAATAGCGTTATCTTAAAACGTCTCAGTATTGAAAAGGAAATCCTCCTTCGTGTCCACGCACGCTAGGGGCTATGGACTTAAGCGATAAGTGCAGATACCGCCGTATAAGGTACTAAATCCTGATTTAATGTTACGACTTTCAGCCTAGTGTCCGGATGTTCTCTCATGCGAAGCGACAAAAACGCGATGGACTGTTCCCCGTAGAAAGAAAGTTTAAAAGCCTGAAGGGTGGATCAATACGTGAATGGCCTAGGGTGAAGTACTTTTAGGGGCATCTATTCCACACAGTGCAGTTTTATATGCTCTTGATTAGCAGCTCATAGCCATGTAAATATTTTTCTATTACTCCCATAGAAATGTTCTACTTAGTATTTCATTTCATTTTACAAATGTAATATAACTATAAGAGTTTTTCGACATAGGAAAAGAATATACATCCTTGAAATTAATAGACATGGAAAGTAACAGTTGAAAGTAACACTCATACCAAAATGCTTTAATTTCTATTCCGATTTACATCTCGAGTCACCATACGTACGCACGACTCCAGACCGCTATGAAAAGTTATTCTATGTTGTCGCTGTAAGGAACTATGAAGATAATGTAAACCAGATCTTAACAATTCAATTTGGAGCTATGCACACGTACATTCGTTATCAGAATCATGTTCAAAACCTCACGAAACGGTGCGTGACAACGTAATTTGTTCGGTAATAAATTGCATTTATGGGTACGGTTCTAGGTAATTGCATCATTTGTAATGTGTAAAATTGCGGACGGACCACTTGTTAATATCCAAGGTGATTCATCCACTCATGAAGGTAGGTCATTCTCGGATCCTTTGCGTGTGTTGAATATAGACATCCGAGAACTGCCTTACGTAAGAGAGAGGCTGTTACAGGTGGCGTTTACTCTGAAATAGCCATTACAGAGCTGTTAAATGGGGTGATTTTGAAACACTGACGGTGTGCCGTGATTGTCCTATTTCTAGTTCCGCAGTCAGACAATTACGAGGTGGGATGTTGAGTGACAGAAAGAGGACGATAATTTAGAAGATAATGGCCGTCTCAGCGGTGAATAAGGCCGCAGGCAGGTGTGCACATTCAGAACTGATAACAATTCTTACTGTGAGATTTAGTACTGCCTGTTTATAGAGGCTTTATTTTGGGCACACATTACTCCCTTTGATACACTATGAACTATGAGAGTAAAAATGTTTGCTTTTAAAGGAAATACTTTGCAAATGTGCTATGTTAGCATCTTTTATCCCAGGAGCGTTTATGCCACAGTGCACAAATATATGGATGTTTTGTCATATCATTTCTTTCTTGAAGGGTGTTTGCCCTATGTTGAGATGTGGTACTTCGAGCACATTTTCATTAAAGAATCAAGAGAATCTGATATGTATGTCTTACCTTGCAGCACGTCATTGTCCCGTGTAAGTGATTCTAAAACATCTGAATTAAATACCAATGTTTCCTTTGGACCCGGCGTAGTCCGACGTCAGACATATCCGATGGCTAAGCACGGCGATGTATGCTGGATCTGCATATGATAAATTGATACGATAAGTATGATGGCATTATAAATCAGCATCTTTGTACAACTTTTCCATCTAGTGAGAAACAATTTGCCAGACTCCCAAACGCCACTCTGCACAGTCCCACCGTACATATGTTGGCTTCTAGTATAACGTTACAGGTTAATTGTTTGATCACAGATATCACCTCAAATGCTGCAGGCAACATTCAATCATCTAGCTCCACCATTATGAATACATATTGACAGACGATTCTTATTCTTATGTATGTATGTATGTATGTTAATAAAATCAAAATCGCAGGTTATTAACCTGAAACATACACGTGGGACTAAAGACAACACCATCCATTTAAATTATCAATCAACTTCATGGAACATTTCTCCAAGCAGACGTTTGGAGGGAATATGATAACGGTTTGTGTTCTGATCGATATATCACCTAAAATTGTGCGCAGAGAAAATGGGACAGCCACAAAACGATACGATCTTGCATTAGAATACCAGAAGTTTTCCTGAAACCCAAGTTCAACTCACCTACGTACATAGAAACAAGCATAACACAGGTGTTTGGCTTGAATATACACATGTCCACTGGGAAATTTCAAGAATTCAGTCAAATATCAAGCAAATTGAATTTGAGATTTTAAAACCAGCAGGATGATTGATGTTCATGGCCAATCGGCTAATTAAGCGCTAGATGTTCGCGCCAAATCGAACAGGAATGCCAAATGCACTGGTGACACCAAGGCTATGGAAATCAACATCAAGGCCGCAACTAGTTGAAAAGCAAATTCTCTCAGCTTTAGTAAAATGACCATGTAGCATGGAGTCACTGAGCACTGGATTGCTTTTTTTTCTAATTGTGAACCGCATGCGCATGTAATTTGCCTAAGCGTCTTATCCCAAACTTGAATATAATGTATACTACTCATACCACGGTGTACTCATACAATAGGCTGCGATGCCTCCTATACACACTCTGGTAGAGCTGCCCCTTAGCTCAACGGCTCACGGATGACATGCTATCACCGGGAAGCCACTCGCACACTCTCCACGCGAAAACATCGATATCTATATAGAAGTCATCATACTCTTGACTTAATATCCAATCACTTGATGCCATGGGGAAGCTGAAGGTGACTTTCACGAAACCTTACTAATGCGACTTTCAATACGCATCTTACTATGTGTCCTAGCTATATCAGCAACAATAACCCGTGAGCTTGCAGCTGAATATGATAGCGTTATATCTATAATAACCAGGATGTGCGAAAGATGCACAGCGTACCACACTGACATTAGTTTGATCGAGGAGATTTAAAAATGGGTTTCATTTTGGTCAATTCTACCGACATTGTCGTTTATTGAACTAGCCCTTGATAATTGGCGCGATTCCGCTTTGGTGGTTGAAAGTGGCCATGAGGTAAATCCTTATAGACAAGTAAAGAAAAGCCCCCGCGATGAACGATGTGTCTGTTGTGTGCTGCGAGCGTTTATGTCACTTGCCAGATGCGCCTGTCGGAGGGATCTCCGTTCCTCGTTATTTGTAAGTGCGAGACCCCTCGTTATTTGTAAGTGCGAGACCAATTGTCCGATGTATTGTAGTTGCCAGGCTTCGAATATTGAATAAAAGGATAACATGAATGAGATGATGAGTAAGTGAATGAATAAAGGATTCCAGACTTGTGTGCACGTTAAAAGCAAACGGAGGGAATTGTGAAACTTCGCAGCCAGGTCACTAGTATGTCGCTGTTTAGGTGGCCCTTTGGCCCTGCCAATATTGTTTTAACGGCTAATCATCCTTTCAAAGTCGAATGAAAAAGGCCATCAGAAGGAGAAAGGTTCATAGGAATATCAATATGTTCCTAAAATCTTAACAGACACGAAAGGCGTGCCGTTAGGTCCAGCCCATCAGCTGTTCAACAGGTGTGACGGCAGCAACAGGTGAGTCGGGCGGGAACGCTGGTCAAGGTTCACAGCTCATGCGCAGTAAAGGCGTTCAAGATGGCGTTCACTTTCGCGGCATTTTGCTACATCGTGGCATTGTTACTGTCGGCTTGTCTCATTTTCTTCGCCATTTGGCATGTAAGTTTTTCAGATTGGTCAATAAGTTTGTTATGGTGAAAATTTGTGATGTTAGACTTGTCCAGTGCGTTTCATAATGTAATGATTAAGGATAATTATGCTCGAAGGTGGGAGGGCGGTAGTTCTTCGAACAGCCCTTCGAACATCGTGAACATCCGTAGATTTTACTACAAACCATACAGTAGTCGGGTCAACATTTGGCTACTTCGAAGCAATTACTGGAAAAATTTTGATTCCATAGTCACTAATAGACAGATTTCATGATCAAATTTTCCAGAATTTTGCACGCCACAAAGTACCTGCCTACGTCATCGTTTGCCCGCCCCTCTGCCCACCCCTTCTTGTAATATTAATTTATAGGTAGCAGGTCGTTTCCCCCCCATGCCTTTTCCCCCCCATGTCAGTCTGGTTATTTCCCTGTCAGTGGTTATGACTCCTAAAGTTATTTTTAAAATCTAAGATAAAATTATGTTACTATAAGTGTTTACATGTGATGTCATTGTTGCATACTACTTTCTTTTATGTTGACTACCGTTTTGCCTGATGTTAGCACAGCGCCAGATGCAGTGACAAGTTATACATAAATATCCATGATTGAAAACATTGAAACGTAAACATCTATGATTTAAAATATTTCAAACATAAATGTCTCTGACTAAACATTTAAACACAAGCAATCAGTTGCTGAAATCTCCAACTTGACACCGCACCCGGCCTGTGTTAGTGGTGGGGGGGACCTGGCATCCCCGCCCACCGCAGTGAAACTGTCGGCTTGTTAGTCTGTAAAATTCTATGAAACTGGGGAAAAACTACAACAAAAGTACAGATATCGCACTAACTATCACATTTAAGCCGTTATAGTAACCTATGTTTATCTTAGATTTTAAAAAAAACTTTACGAGTCATAACCACTGACAGGGAAATGACCAGACTGACATGGGGGGGAAAAGGCATGGGGGGGAAACGACTAGAAACCAATTTATATATTCCTCTTTTTATTGGTTTGGCTACATCATAACTAACTGCCAGGACTGTCCAAGAAGTCAAAATGCTAACCTGTCAAAAGCGACTCTTCACCATTTGAAACGCCGCCAATTCCCAAACGTCAGACAAATCAGCTCTCAACGCGAGTGGTTACATCGGGGATGAGTCTTTTGTGCTGTCACGAGGTCACAGCTGATCCCACTCAGCTGACGGCAGGCAGATACTGATTGACGTTGGCAGCTTTTGTTAGGGCCAACTCATGCAGTTACAGAGAAGTATTTTTGTCTTGATATTGATATTCTACATTTAATTCCATTGACTGAACTGTTCCAGATCATTGCCTTTGATGAGCTGAAGACGGACTATAAGAACCCTATAGACCAGTGTAACAGTCTCAACCCGGTGAGTCCCTCTTGTCATATCTCTCACTCTGTAATCTCACCTGTCATCTGCAAACATGAAGTAATGTATCATCCCAGCTAGATAGGTCAAATGTCAGACAGACTATTCAGTTGTATAACAAGATTAATTCCCAAGGCTGCTAAATGGATGACAAGACCATTAGTGAAGGAAAGTAAATGTGCTTGTGGGAAGAGTTGACATTTTAGTTAATGTTTGCAAATCTACTGGGTCATTCCTTGATCAAATCAAAAAGTTAGAAAGACGCCAAGAAGCCAGGGGAGGCTTGAAATTCTGGCAACCAACCAGAGGAAAATACATGGCCTTAGGTTCTACAGAAAGCTGAAATCATTAAATAATTCTGTAGGTCTTTATACATATATAGAAGACTCTACATGTACTCTACGTGTATGTCTACTGAGACAGAAGGAAACTATTGCTGCTGCTGACATGTGCTCATAACGTGTTGGAGCAGCTTATCCTCATGTAGATGTGCATTGGTCTTTAGTAGACCTTCACTTAAGGGCCTTTTTTTGGACTGAAGCTGGTTACAACTTACAAGTTTGTCATTAAGTACAATGTCATGGTTGTCCATCAATGTATGGTATGTGCAATAGCAAAAAAAAAAAATCTGTTTAATCTTGTTGCATTTTTTCAATGGCAACATGTCCTGACCAGTACCATTTTTATTACCTATTGTCTCTATTCTGTATCTGTATCGGTATAGCCGGTATTAAGGATGATAGTCTTAAGACCTAGCCTAGACATGAACACTGACCTGAAGAATGTTTGTCTCCCAGCTGGTCCTACCGGAGTACATCATCCATGGCTTCTTCTGTCTCCTGTTCCTGCTGGCAGGAGAGTTCTTTCTCCTTGGCTCTCAACATACCACTCATTGCTTACCATGTATACAGGTGAGAGGTCAAAACCAGTGCTCTTCTTAGATGTTTATCTCCAAGCAGATGTTGGGCAAATCATTGCAAAATACATGCAAAACGAACCTCGTGACAACATCTGCTTGGAGATAGCCGTTGTTTTCATCAAGTGGCTTCCAGCCTCAGGGTGAAATGTGACCTTAAGGCAGGTAGAAAAGTCCTATACTGTTTATGTCATTGCCATGTAACTGGATCAAAAATCGAGGGAAGTCTTAACAGATGCAGACTTATACTAGTTATAGCTCTTTATCAAGGTTGAATTTATCAATGTGAACTTGATGAGCCCAGCTATATCCAACATCAACTTTGTATGAAACACATTATCTCTACTATGCTGACCTGTGTAAGTACAAAATCTTGTTAGAAATGAAATCCTCTTGATATTTTCTTCACAAGCCAAGCTGTGTATGATGGGATTCCAGATCTGCAGTCAGAATGATGTGGGTGAATCCTTGCTGAGCTTCCTGTACAGGTGTAATGCCCTGCAGGACAAATATCCCAGACACAGTAGCCAATGGTACATTACTCACTGGAAAATAGGGAAAAAGTGACTAATTATCCAAGTTCAACTCCATGCAGCAGCATTGCTTGATGAGCTTTTCTTCAGATTGTTAGATAAAATGTCAGTTCAGTGCATGTTCCATCCCATAGTTTTTATTTAAATCCATGCAGGTATGCAGGTCGCCCTGTGATGAGCAGCCCAGGCCTGTATGACCCCACCACCATAATGAATGCAGATGTGCTATCACATTGTCAGCGGGAGGGCTGGATCAAGCTGGCCTTCTACCTTCTGTCCTTCTTCTACTACCTGTACAGGTGAGAGGGGAAGGGGAGACACGGCAAGGAATTAAAATTCTGTGGACAAAAATAGCATTTGAAGCAATATAGTATATGTACTTGCTTTTCTCCCTTAGTGCTCTTTAATCATAACAGTAGGAATTTTACTGGTAGTACTCGATTCTGGCCTGGAGTGTTCATTTAATGATACACTGGAAATGAAAAGCCTGCCAGCAGTTGTGAAGTTGATAAGGAAATTAATGTAGGCTGTCTCACAGCTTGCACCGTCTTGTAATCACTCACCAAGTAAATGTTGCTAGGTGATAGATGTCAACAATGCAGGACACTCATGAACCTCATAACCAGGACAGCACAGAAAAGCAGACCTTCATGTAGCTTTGATCATTGTAATGAATTGTTAGGACTTAGGAGTGCCAGGTGCACCTAGGCAACTACACAGGGTGGGCATGGTATGCAACCAGCACATGTCAAGAGTAACAGGAGAAATTGAGGCCAGTAAACTATATAAGGTGATATATAATGAGCTTTATTGGACCTAATTCAAATACATATTTATATACATGTACTTGTTGGCTATCCAAGTACTATCCAAAAAAACCTGGTGATGTATGTGCTGACTGTGCCTGTTTGTGTTTCAGCATGATATATGCCCTGGTGTCATCTTAGAGATGCTGGGTACTTTGGCAGTGATGCAGGTATCAGTGGCCAGATAAACCATGGTCTGCTACATGTCGGCTTCTAACATTGGCAACTTGCGTAGTAATGAATAAGATTTTCCTGTTTTCCAACAAATCTCTGATGCTTTTTGCTGTGCAACACCGTAAAATTTTGAAATATTTAATGACATGTCCTATAGGATAGGCAGATACTAGTAACTCTAGCTATACCTGTAAGATTGTTGTCAACTTATAACTTTGACTTTTGAAGCAGGATTACTTTAAAGACAAACTAAGAATTGAGACATTGTTGCTGAAGTGGAGTAGACATGTACATGTAGGTAGGTTTGTGTCCCAAACAGTGGTGTTCTTTGATTGTTGCATATGGCAATTGTTTCTTCTACTTTGGATGCATTGATGCAGTAGCCTACACTAATGTTACAACTCAAAAGACAACAATACTCGTCAGAAGTTCGTAGATCACTGGATCTCTAGTCAGTTTTGAGAAAGACTTTGAAAGTGGTTTATGCATTGTATTTGAATGGAAATACATGTATATAAAAAACCTGGTTGCAGCTAAAACTGAAAAGAGCATGCCATATTATTACAACAAAGATAAGCTCTGAAAAAATGTTTTCATTTTACTAGATATACAGTTAGTAGTACATTGTAATAGTAACAATAGGTGTTGATATATAGGGCCTCTGTGCTTTGACTAGGATGTACTTTAATGATACAAAGGTAAGTAAGTAGGACAAACTGCATTTAGTATTTTGCTGAAATAATCACCATGGCTGGGTTAGCTTTGGTGAACGCTCCAAGCTGTGAACTGAACTGTATCATTTTGACACGGTCTGTTGAATCAGGGTTGATGCCAAACAAGCTGTTTTGACTTTGTGAGTGTATGTTGTTTTTTGACTGGGTATTAATAGCAAGACGCAGGGGGTAAGATGATGCCAGACCTTGTATAGTCTCAGCAAGCAAAACCTGCAGCAAGGTAGTACCATTTTTTTGGACAATCTATTTGCTTTATATGGAATAATATACAGGGGAAGGATTGGGATTTTGGTGTGACTTAACATGAAAAGTTGGTTGTTTTTGGAGCACCACAGCAGCTATACTTGCCATGTTCATCACCTCAGTGTTGAAGAAGACCTGTAGAAAAGATGCTGCATGGTCTGAAATTATGATGTGCATTTTTACATTACTAGCTGTGGACAAAAAGTGAGATGTCATGGACTTAGTGATGATGTCACAAAGATGAGCCAGGGACACAGGTGTGAGATATGATCAAGTGTAGTGAAGTTGTGTCAAACATGAACATTAAACTGCCAATTTTCCTTTCATGATTGATGTATAGTCATTGTGTATATTTAGAACTGTCCAATATTTTATGCATTGTCTTCTATGACCAGTCCTTTGTGCTCCTAATGATCATGCTTAAAGGAAATCAAGTTTGATATGACTGATAGCACTGCTGTGTTGCTGTCACTAGATAGACCTTATGCTTACATATTGATTAAGTATGAAATCTGGAAATGTTATCATTAGAGACATTGTATGTATGTATGGAGTGCTTGTTGGAAATACAATTTATACAAGAATCATGATATCCATTTAAAGATTCTTGTGCGCTCTCTTACACTTACTGTGTCCTCTTCTTGGTGCTTGATTACATCTGCTACCTCATTTTTGGAGAGGAGACACATGTACATATGATTTTCCTGTTTTTTTTAAAGATAACAATATAAGAGCTTGAGGAAAAAGTTTCCTTGGCACAGGTAGTTTCAGCTTCATACCAAGTTTGTTAGGTAATGCTAAATATGTACAATTGTTTTGCAGGCATAGTGCATCGGAAAAATCTTTGCAAAGAAGGGGTCATTTATTCTGATTACATCATGCATACAACACCATAGCAATAACAAAATACTACAAAATCCCGAACCTCATGACCTTTCTCTGTTCTCGCTTGAAAGCATTGTTGTTTACAAGCTGGCATGCAGAAACCCATAAAACCTGCAACAACCAAACATAAGCTGATTGAAGTCACTCATCTGTGAGTACTCGCAGTGTACTGCCTTTTCAGTACTGTTGACAATGACTTCCATAATATATGTATATTTAAGTGCATTGACACATAAATCATTGTCATCTTTTGGAATCAGTATTCTATGGATGCAATCAGTGAAAGCATGCCAACAATACACATTCAAACTGTTGCTGTACAGCACCTTATGTTGACCAAAGAACAAAATACAATACACTATACGCAGTAAATCAAGCAATTATTTATACAGACATTTCAGACAGCATCCGCAGTCTATCATCAGTGAACTGTGAATGAGGCAGCAGATGATATAGGAAACGTCTGAGATGTCTGGAGACTTTATCCAGCTGTTTGATTTATTGTGCATAAAGTATCGTGTACCTGGACGTCTAACCTTCATCAATATGACAGAAAACAACATTACTACTGGTACCAGTAGTAGAGGTGGACCAGAATGGTGATGAGGGGAGTGAAAATGTTGGTGCTTTTGGAAGACAGTGTACAGATTTCCTTTTCTTGTCCACTCTTAATGTTGTACACAAGAATGATCATTGCTGGAATCTTTCTATGCTAAGTGCATACACACTATACATTTTGTACTTGTATCAAACATAGGTCAGGAATTTTTCTTAAATCTTTAGTTGATACAATATCATCTCAATATCAGTAGTCGATACACAAAACAACTATCTAATGAAACCTTCACTTCCACATTGGTTGTGACTTCTAAACAGCAGCTGTCAGCAGAGGCAGCATCTGATGGTCAGTAATGTGTCATTTTTCCTTTAAGGAAACAATGTTGGGGTGAGGGAAGTGCTTTTGCACAGACACTTAACTACAAGACTAATACTATCATCATAGTGGACTCATTTGTATTCAAGGGGTGTCCTCAGTTGGATATGAGTGGAAAAGGTTTTTGCACACCGCTTTGTCATTGTCGCCAAAGGATGTCAGCTCCTGAACATGAATTTTAGGAAAGGATGATGTGGGTAATGAGAGGAATCCCGAGAGTGTGTTCAGCTGCTGGTGAAGAGTATGTGGAACAGATAGCCGAGTTGTGTGCGGAATACAGATACAGTTGCTGATGTGCTGGCGATGAACTACTGGCGCAAGATTGGTGGAAATGTGGACATAACCGCTAATCAGTTTGCCTTTAATCTTGAACACTCTAGAAACAAGAATACTTCTAAGTTAATAGTACTGCTGGTTGATGTGAACCTTATTTAAATGCAAACTCACCAAGGGCAACAGGCCTGCGTAAGTGATGTTGAATTAATGGTTTGGATTTATAGAATTGTCTACCATTAGATGCATGGCAGGCTTGGAGGTCATTCTATGATTTGCAAGTAAGAAATGTATTGAGTCACACATACTTACCTAAAACAGCACATACTCAGGAAGATGTACTGAGAAATGCCAATTCACAAAATCTTTATTAATTTTTCATGTCAGATGTGCAACTTGGCAGTGCTGTGCTTTGGGGAAAATCAGTTGTTTGCCAGACTTCATAACAAGCAACTTGGACATACCTGTAATACAGCCATTGACCCTTGACCTCATGTTAAATGGAATAAGTCATGATTGTGGAACATGACATTTACAATACTTTCCTCGAGGAACAGATATGAGCGACTTGTGCTCACAACATCCTCAGTATGTAAGTGAGAGTATCAATCATTAATACTCTAATGACAACATAATTTTGGTGATTCTGGTAATTTCATTAAAAGATAATTGCCAGCATGCAACTTCACAAGCTTAGTGTGGATCATGTGCACTAAAGTCATTTTTGTTACAAGAACAAAGGTTGGAAACTTGACATGTTGTTCATGAGTACAAACTTCATTAATTTTGGTATCTGTGATCTTTCAGTTCCAAATAGTTCACGACTTGAACTTCAACAAGATTTGTACAACTAAACATTTTGTAAGGAGACAGTTTGATAAGGCATCTGTAAGTGCTGGTAACAGGTTTCTGAGATTGTAGATTTGTATTTCTTGGTAAGAATTCATAAGGCATCCTTCACTACATAAAAGCATTTATCTATCACCCATATTTATATATTTGATAAGTTGTTAAGATTTGCACTTTGTGCAGAACATGTTGTGCATGCACTTCTGTAGGAAAATAATCTACATGTAACAGTTAGGCCATACCAAATTAATTTGTTCTTTCTCGGATTTTTCCAGAAAAAAATGAAGCGACAGGGGAAAAAAACAGGCCAAGGCACCCCATGAAGGCCGGGAATGTTATGATATGAGCCATGAAGTGAGCATACCAGGCTGGTTTATAATTAAAACAATAGATTTTGAACTTTTAATGAAATGAAGTTGCATTGTTACATTGAAAAACTTTAACAACTAGGAAGAAAAGGACTTTCTTCAACCCTTGGGGCCAAAATATGTCTTTCCTTGAGAATTTTGCAGTTGATTCAGAACCTAAAATCTTTTTTTTTTTTGCAAATCAGAAAAAAATGGACAGGGCAAATCCAAGAAACAACAAATTAAATTGGTATGGCCTTAACATTACTTTAGTAGTTTGGTTCTGGTTGATTCAAATGTGTCAATATAGATTACTAGAAATTAGTTTTTATTGAACAGGCATGCAGAGGCAGGTCACACCAATGACATTATCACTTCTGACAATGTCCTTAAAAGCCCTCCAAAACAGAAAATAATCAATAGAAAATGTAGAGTTTCTCCATGGCTATGCCAACACTGGAAGATTTGCACAGCATTGGTGAATACTTGAGTTTCCATCAAATTCAGTTCAGAGGCCCCAAACCAAACTCTCTAAGCATTTAATTTGATTGATCTGAAAACCATGGAATTGGTGTGGCCTTGCCAGGATTATCAATTTCACAATGCTGTCCAGGGTACTGAAAGGTGAGTAGGTGTTGGCAGCTGAGAGTCACAGGCATGGCTGTGATTGATTCTATGGTTCACTACTGTTGGCCCCATACCTACAACACATATCTGTATACATCTGCCCTGACTCATTATGCACTCAACACAACAGCTGCCTCCCCCTCTGACTGGCAGACCCAGACAGCCTTAATGTAATTTCCTCTGATCCAGCCTTCCTGCACATCCATGTGAAAGTAAGGGAGAGCATCCAAATAATGCCCTTGACGTTCAAGAGTCGCATAGACTTCAAAACAGAATACGAGAGACACTCGGATCAACATTCAATCTACACAAGTAGCAGTGTGACTACATTTCCCCCACTTGTATCATGGGAATGTGGTTTAGAATGACTTCAAAATTGACTGTCCTGTGAGATGGAGGCAGCTACTGTACTATGTGATATAAGAAAGACCTACTGTGTACTTTTTTACTTCATGTTCCTCAACAACAATAGTCCCTGACAACATATGACAATTGCACCCTTCAATAAAATTGCTAATTTCTTTCTCATAACTTCTAAAAAATGTTCATGTAAATAAAATAATGATCATCCTTAATTCAAGACTGTGTGATACACCAATTTGGTGCAGCCTTTGTGTGTGGAGCTCAACGGAAAAGGGCCAACTTTCCCCTCAGCCACTCATCTGTCAACTCATCCACATTACGGACTTCAAAGACCTGGAGAAACATAAAGGAAAACATCATTACTAAATAGACAAGGTGAAAGGTTTCTGCAAAAGACATCATGTTCAAGGAACGAATTCTGAAACTTGATACTAGAAATGCTACAAAAATGCAGTTTGACAGATATGGCAGTCACTTGGAATGAAAAACAGATGATCTTTTAACATGGGTCAATTTCCTCAGCCCTGTGTAACGGTCTCACTATGCTGACAAGGATTTCTGTCTTCTGTCTATTATATTGAGTTAAGTATGAAGATTTCAAATGTTCCAACAGATGACTGAGCAGTTAGCCATGCACATCTCCCTCTCCAGCTCTGGCTCTGTGCCCAGGTGAGCAGGTAGTTTTCGCACACCTTGTTAAATTTGACTCCTCTCCAACAGATAACTCCTGTACCTATCTCTGTATATCACTGTGTAATGAAACCTTGTGAGAACAATTATCCTATCAAACCTTTTACAACATCTCTTCCATCATGCTTACATGTTTCAAAACACTACTGTTTGCTTATGCACAGTGTTACATTAGCTATAGCCATGAACTCATTTGATAAATTGGTGCAGTGATCTCATGACATCCTTCTGAGCTCTGAAGCAATTCCCTGCTATCATACATGTACATAATGCCAAGTTACTGTATTAATGAGCCTTCAACAGGAACAAGGCCAATGATACCCACTGGTACATGTGGTGAGTCAGCTATGGTCCACACAGTGGGAAGGAACTCAATAAGTTCAATCCATCAAGCTGCTCCCTTAAACTTGCATGGGTTAAGGATGAATAGGCTATTGGAGATGTGGAGACCAACAGTACTGTATACAACTTCTCACAAAGACAGACGTTTAATTTACCCAAGTCTCATGACTGTTCAGGCGAAATTGATTGGTCAGGCCTACTCCTATTCTAGCCTGACTAGATGGCACTCCTACTAGTCCTAGTGGCCCACCTGAGTGACCCCCCCCCCAGCAGGCAATTAGCCTCTGGCAGCTACAGATTGTGGAACACAGGCACCAGGCTAAACCCTACTCCATCAATGCCATTCAAACATCCCCCAGCTATCTTTACCTACCCCACTAACAAACACACCTTTCATGCCAAATGGATACTGCTGCAGGGAGAAGGTAAACTTACTTCCATTATCAGGGAGGAGAACTTCTACTTCCATTATCACAGAAGAGTACTTAATATAATTACAATCTTAACATCTTATCAGCAGATCTATAGATCCACTAGAATGAATTTGCCAGCTAGAGGGTCACTGGGGGGATCTGAGACAGCTATATATGCAGCTTCACTTGGGGAATATCACCACTGCAATCACCAATGCTATGTGACATTAGCTGCAGCTTGGGAATTTTTTCCAAAGAAAATCATTAATTGCTTTTCATTAAAGATTCTGCCTTAGGTTGGCATTGAAAATCGGTATATTTCCAGGGGATTCAAAGACTTCTGACAGACTGGTCCTTGTTTCCCCATTTTTCTTGCTGCATTTCTTGTCCCAAGGTACAAATGTACATTTTCAGGATGGCAATTAGAACAACATTTCCCTTAAATCACAGTAAAACACAAAACATCATGTCCTTTGAAAAAAGGGTAAATTCATGTTAGTCAAGAGGATGGCTAATCAAACATGTGAAGATTGTCTTTTGCCACTAGACATATGCAGCCTTGAGATATTTCTATTCTACATTTTTGAGTAAGTTGCAGCTATTGATGCATCACTAGATGACAGTCAATTTTACATGCCCTTTCTCAAGATTCCCAAAGGGAATCCAAAATCAAATCAAGTTGTAACCCTCTTTGACTGACTCTTCAAGGGATGTGCCTGAAAAGGTTAACATGTCCTTGACCTTCCTTACTAGGAAATGCTGATGTCAATCTCAGTCAGGACAGACCTGAAGGACAGGAGACATGATGACTTCTATGTTGTATGCATAGATACACCATCCCAGCGTGTGATCTGTGGGTTCCAACCGAGAAACTGTGAACTCCTGTGGGAAGGTTACAGGAAGGATGAACCCTGTGCACCAGTTAATCATTCATGTAGGACTCTATTATGAGTCTATACGTGCTGCATCAGTACATCAAACCTCAAAGTCTCAAAAGCCACAGAAACGCACTTTGCTGAAATCTAGAGATCATGCCCTTAGATTGTACATGTAGCTACAGCATTAACTGCAAAATATGAAAGCTCCAGGAGGAATCAGAAAGGAATTTTGTACATCTAAGTCAACAAGCCTCATCCTTATGAGCTGTCTCTCGCATGCATGGATCTGTGTAGCTGACCATGCTTCTGAACTAAGATTGTTTTGAATCCCGGCTATTGTTGCTTGGCTGACTTTAATGCTGCTGTGTGCTACAGTTTCAGTCCTTTGGATGGTACATTAAGTCATACAACTGTATAACTGTTGCTTTGTTAGGGAATTTGTACACTGAACCTGTTCAAACATGTACTGTACCTAGCATCTATGATTTTTGTTAACAACAGATAGATAAACTTATCAATAAATGAAAGAAGATTGAGATTCTGTTGACATTATTTTCCACCATATGGTATGCAATTATCACCACATGGTACCACACTGCTGCAACACAGTCGGAGTCAGCCTATTAGCTGTCAGCTTCTGCCCTGGGGTGAAATCTGCTCATAGAATACATACATCATGTATGACTTGTGTAAGACAATCAGAAAACAGACATATGGGCATGGGTCAAACTGTCTATGGACCACTTCCAACTTGAAAGCAGTCTTGCATATAAACTCTCCTGGCTCCAAACTGCCAAGGCAGAGTCTTTTATCTGTTATCTTTCATCATCATCACTTATACAATGCCTTGAGGTGGAGGTGAAGCCTTACTTACGGGTAGGGGTCACCCGGTGTGCTTGGTTAAATATGCAAGAAGTAGCAAATTAAAGCTATTGCCCTTGTAGCTAATGAAAAATGTTGTGCTTTGACCTCAGTCTGAGGCTTCAGCTTTGCCTTACTTGTCAGTACCATTCAGCTCCATTAGAGGGAGTTCATGGCAAATGTTGGCTACATCTGAAGTGACAGACATCCTTCCCAGGAGGGTCTTTGGTATGTTCCCTTCCATGCACCAGGAGAAGCTCCACACCACGAGGGTTAATTCCCTGTGATGCTGACCTCTGCTCATCTGCCCTACCTCAAGAGCCAAAGGGATGAAATCCCAGTGATACCATATTACTACTATTTGTAAAAAATTACCACAATTTTCTGGTAGGAGAATTATCCTTTAACCACCTGATGACCGGAAGGGATTTCCAGTGAAGATTCTCGTCCCTCCCTGGAGGGATTTCTGATGTAGCATTTGAGCATCTTAAGGATAGAGATTGAACCTTCTAAAGGTCATATCCACTTTACTGTAAATATTTGATGATCCTGGTCTCTGCATGGCTGTCCAAATGGTCCAGCTAAATCACCATCCTGGATTAACTCAGGATTTAGCACTGGCAGTTTATTTCCCTAGACTAGAGAAGCTACTGAGTCAAACGTCCATTTGAAGGCCAAGAAAACAGGATAAAAGAATAAGCTTCAAAGGATATAACGTTACCTGAATTCAGTTCTTTTTTCCTGCAAATCGGTATACCGTGGGAATGGACATCTATATTGTATATAACAGTTACATGTACATGTGTTCAAAAGATTTGGATATTATCTAATTGATCAACTGTTGCTTTAGATGATTTTATAAGCAAGCAACAATATCAATAGAACAATGGAGATATGCCCAAAGGCTAGCTCCAGGGGATGTTGTGCCTAATGTATATTGATTACTACAATCATGGAGGTAGAAGTTACCTCCATGCTACAATCAACCTTTTCCTTGGAGATTTAAATACTGTTAACAGCAACAATTTACGAAAACTTTTGGTCGTGTATATTTTGCATTAATACTACATTTTTTTAATATTCTAACACTGAATACACTGTACATGCATGTGTACTCAGACAAAGCTTTTTGGAGCAACTTTGTGCATGATGTGGACAAAAACAACAAAAGTTTGAGAAGTGTCAAGAGTTTGAGCATCTGTAAAGTGTTAGAAGCATGATAATTACATGGACTAGATTGATGGTGCAATCTTGTTAGATGGTGGGAGGAAATTTGGAGCTCAGTGTTGGTCCTCCGTCCCTACAGGAGACCATTACTGCTCCACTCCTGGCTCCTGCAATGAGCTCTCCTCCTGGGGTACAATAATTGGAACACCACCTGTGTACCTCCTGGGGAGGGCCACCAATAACATCAAGTCAACAGACATAAAGCACTAGGAAATGAGTTCTCATTACATGGACATTTCTGGCTAGCTACAGCTAAGTATTCATTATACCGAGCTAGTTATCGCCTTCACATAGGAGGTTATATTTCCTTCACTGTTGATTGGTTTGTTGGCAAGACGTCATTTCTGCCCTATGGCCCCAGGCATACATTTTCCATTCTTGCATCTTTTCAAACAACATTTCTTTCAACAGGATATAACAAAGTTCTGATCTGTATCAAAGTGAAAGCTACATACAGCTGGCTCCCTCCTATCATGCAGAAATCCTGCTTCCACTAATCTACATAACTAAACTCATGCACAGATTTATAGCTTTTGATGTTGTCTTAAAGACTTACCACTCTTGAACTTATCATTCTTGAACATTAATCTTCAATACAATAACACTACAAAACATACTGGCTGTGGGCAGCTATAAAGGCCATGTGTGTGACAACATATTTCAGCATGCTTTGAAAATTAAACATGGGAAAATGGTCTACGTGCAAATGTGAGTATATCTAACATTACACCATAAATAGTTTGTCATAGTTTGTTATGTGGCTAATTATATTCTTTTGATAACTTTAGCCTCCATTAAAATGTGTCCACCTGGTTACATATTTCCGCCACATTGAGACCAGTAATGCAAAATTAAGCTGATATATACATTATACATATGACATTCACATGACCTGGAACTGGAATTAAACTGAAAAAAAAATTCCCTTTGTATAAGGATACCCAAATATTGAAATGGTCTCCATGAGGATATCTTAGAGATACACAGGTGTTTGAACTGAGTGAGAGGTTAAAACATTTATCATCACAGATTGTTATCTACAGGCAATACAGGAATGCCTCAGTCTATACTTTACCTTGTGTTTATTGAAATCTAATCTTATCTGTTCCTAGTAGACTATGACCGTACCTGACTGTGTAAATTGGACTATCAATCATGCAGTGGACAAATGCAGCAACATATACAGGTAGGAATAATATATCAACATCTCAAAGGTTTGAAATTGACACAACTACAGCATTTCTTTTGTGAAGGGAACCAGCCAAGCCAACTTTACAACAGCCTACTAACAGCTGCTACACAAGTACCCTAACATACCAAGCTACACTCAACATGGGAGTATTATAGGGAACCTGATATTAAATCCTATTTTAGAAAACATGAATAGACTACAGAAAGGATCAATCAATTACCCAGCTTGCTGTATCTCCCAGGAATCTGTCTTCTGCTGTTTTCCCTGGTGCCATCTGAGATGACTGATTGTTGGGCTTCTGCAGATACCTGGAGACATTGATTTCTTGTTTGTCTCCCCTCTAGGAGAAGGAGAAACTCTACTGCTCCTATCACAGGTGTTTTAGGTAGAACTGAGGGCAAATTACATGCCTCACACGTGTCCCACTAGCTACGGTGATGGATTGCTATGGCTCATAAGGCCAGGGTCATAGAAAGTTTAGGATATACTGTATACATTGTATGTGCGTCATAGCAAGGGGATATAATGCCACAGTAGCTGCACTTCCAGGAAGAATGCAAATCAAGAAGACCTCCATATCTATGTAGAAATTGTTGTGACAGTATTCGTGACAACATGGTCATGAATCATGCTGTTCTGCATGCTAATGTGTTGATTAATTCTGCTTAGAAACATGGCACAGATGTAGAAAATCTAATTACCAAAAGGGGTAGTTGACTACAGTTAAGTATATTTTCTAAGTTTCCTGTCTCTCTAAATTCAAATTGACCAGTGTTAGGCCTAGGTCTGTTCACGGGTAAGGAAGAGTCATGACTCCCTAAATGTCAGTTGTAATTTTGCAGTATAGTCGTATCTCCTGAGATGTTCCAGCTATGCTCTGAGATGAATTTAGGGCAGTTACAGCTACTGACCCAGCACAACTTCAGAACAAGCTGACTAATGTCTCTGTCCTGACTAGTCTCATGTGCCATAATTTTCTACGCATAACTGTCAATGACCATAAATGTCCTGGCCCTGTAAACAATCTCTTGACAAAGAGCTTCTCATGCTTCAAACTGTGATGAAAAACATCATCAGATATTGTTTTTACTTCATTTTTGCTATATGTTTAACTTCACAACATAGCTAATACATTTTATGGATCACATGCTTTGCACAAGGGCAGGGCACGTACATTGACATCTTAAAAGTATATGGACTTGTAATTCACTAACTTTATAGTACAGGGCAGTGCAATGCCGTATTATTCCATGGTATATGGTATTTGCAATATGGTGACTTTACAATCCACAGGGCTTTGAAGAATGGCAACAATTTGCAGGACAAAAGGAGATTTTTATTGTTACCAGGCAATCTCTTCAGCCCTTCATCTGGATTGAAGGTGACACAGATGTAGTGTAATCCCAGCATTATTCTATATTGTATATGTAAATCTTATCCTATTTCTAGAATACGAAAGGCTTTTTTCTTATTCTATTTCTTATTTTGCTTAATTCTACTGTATGTTAAATCTGTATCAAAGGAAAACATTGTGAATTGAAGGTCACACTGGTGCAGTGTTATCCTTGTGTCACACTATCTCATGTACATGAATGTCTATTACAACCCATTTCTAGAATACAATGAGCTTATTTTTGCTAAATTCTCTGTATCAAAGGGGTAAAGATTGAGTTTGCTGTGAGCATGGAGCTGTAACAGAGGCCCAGAGCTGGGCCAAATAACCTTTCTGACCTGCAACATTCACTGAACCATGAATCAGACCTTTTAACTTGATGCTTATCTGACAAGCCAAAGTGGGTTTATGGAAAACAAACATCTGCTGCCCCTCTAGGAGGGTCAACATTATAAACCAGCGCCCCCTTTCACATAAATGTAATACTGCATCTCTGTAGGTAGGTTACTTTGTGCTCTACTTCGGATTCATCAGACAGACTGGTATCCAGATGCATGTGTAGGGAATTTTTCATCAGGTACAAAAATTAAGAATATTTAGATTAGAGTCAGCCTCATGTTTGTAGTGAAAAGAAAATGGGTGTCAGGTTACAATGTTTACTACCATCACAGTTCCAGGAAAAGTAAAGTACAAGTTTATAGAGCCTAACTTAGATGAAACATTCATGAGCAGCTCACCTTGGTCATCTCTGCCTCCCTCACCAGTGCCGTCTTGGTCCCTGCATACATCATCTGCAGCTCTGGTTTACACCCTACACACATATAAGGTCAGAAAACACCTGCATCTATATCCTTTCTTTGGTCTTCATTACTAACTTAGTAAGGAGGTTCAAAAGCTGCTTGCTTCACAAGTTCTAACACTTGTCTATTACTTAGTAATGTTACTAAATTCAAGTATGGAGGAACACTAAAAATTTGGAAAATTTGTAGAAATCTACAGAAAACAATCTCTGTAACGATGGAAGTATGGAATTAAAGAGACCAGGGTATGGAAGGAATTATGCTGAATTGAGGCTTTTCTGAACAAAAGTTAAGACATACATCTCAAAGTGATGGCAATTAGGTTTGATAGTTTTTCTTCAAATTGCAAGACCAAATCAGCATCAAAGGAACCAAATATCTATGAATCATCATCAGGGACAATTTTGCCAGGAGCTCTGTCAGGCTGATAGCTAACTGGCTCCCCCTTTCACCTCGTAATAGCAATGCAAGTATTGAGGGTCTGACATGCCATTTGAGATTTTCTTACATCTTACGTGTTCAATGAAACCTCCTTGATCTTACAGGTCATTCTAAAAAGAGTGATTAAACTGCATGACAATCATTGGTGGAGAAAAAAGGACACCTGTGATTCTTTCAAAACCCACCTGCAGGGCTGATAAAGATGAAAACCAAGGGGAAAGATGTCCTCCCATCATCATGATCCAAACAGTAACTGTATACCAGATACGTTAGTGGCAGTTAGGGAAATGTTGCAGATAAAATAGGAAAGAGTCACTTGTGGTACTTGGTAATTAATGGTCATCATCATGTTAATATATCAAATTTATGAAGTTGATATTCATCATCATAAGTCATCATCATGACTGTTACAGTCTAAACTGACTTATCAGATTTCCTGTAGATACATGTACATGACCCTATCTATAAGGCACCAGTATGATACATGTTATAGGGCAATTGGCTCAACTGGCTGAGAGCAGAACATCTTCTGCATTCACAAATACTAGTAAGTATCCATCCATTCAACATAGTTGTCTTGGTTACATCACTAGGTTCTTTTCTCCATGCCAACGTTTCATGGTCTATCTGCTGTCTTCATCATCAGGGCAAATTGATGTACCAACCTGATGAAACTACTGGTTCTTATAGAAGTATGCATCCATCAAAAAGATAAATGAAAGCTGCTGCTCAGAACAACAAAAGGATATCTGGGAAGGTGACCTGGCAGCTCTTCTTGCAGGTCATCTAATGTGCAGTCCTGAAAGACAGAGATATACCATATGTACCACACATGTGTTACATGTACACACATATACATATGTATTCTTCAGTTCTTTTGTGTCTTTCATGTGAATAAATGTATGATTTTAATATGATTTAATGACTGTTTTTACAACACGGAATGATGATCAGGATTTTATTTCACTGTCTAAAGCTTTTATTCACGCAATTCAGCCTTGTGGCTGCCTAGTGATGGAGCTGTATTGTGATTTGTGTTTGTGTTTGAAATAAACCAATGATATAATTTATCTGAAGACTGAACAATAAGCTCCAAAGTTTCAAAGGAGGCAAAAAAGGTCAACATACAGCACTTAAGTTTTGGAGGACAGCTAGATACCTGTTAGCCAAGAAAGACCATTGAAAGAATTTAGCCTTCTATTCTTTCCATGGTACTACTCATAGGCTATACATGTACACCAGGTGTAGCAAACAAGACCAGTCTACATGTACATGTAAAAATATTACATTGGCAGAGAAAAATTTAACAAACTAGAATATCAATCTGGTCAAATCAAAGATCTTTAATCCAATAAAATACATTCCTGAAATCATTTTATGATGCACAATTAATTCCATATTCTAGTTTCATTCAAGTTTAGTAACTAACAGTCTTCAGATATTTCATTTCAATGCAACAAAGATGAATGATAACCTTTAAAGTGAAAACAGAGCCTGAATATATTTTTACTGGAATGAAAATCACCATATGATGGTTATGTTTGTTCCGGAAAATTCCCTCGGGCTGGGATTTACCAAATTAAGGCCTTGCTTTTTTAGAGGATCAAAGGTTTGATCCAATAAAGCTGGCCTTGAGAGACAATGTCAGTAAATCCTCTTCCATCATAATGAGATCTTCTATTTCGCTGGCTTGCATATCCAGAACACAATCGTTTGTTACACAGTAAGAAATGTCTATTTGGTTACTGGTTGGCTACTGTGCAGTGCTGGGTAGTTTTGACAGAGGAATGTTAAACCATTATACTAGGCACACACTGAAAAGATGGGTGCTCTTGTTCTCGGTATATTGAACGTATTCTAATGGAGAAATGTCAAACCGGTAATTTATGTGCTTAGAGATTTAAGCGTGTAATGTAATTCTGTTACAGTGGACCTGATTGATGTTCCTGATGCAAGCAAATGATTGACAGCACCATCTCACAATTGCAATGCAGATTATTTTCCACACAACAAACATGGAGCCATGTATGACAACTAAGGTCACTGGAGAAATAAACGCTTTTGACCTTGCAAACCAGACAATGACTGATCTTTAGTGTCAGAACAATCTAATGAGACAGAGACAGAAGGGGAGGAAAGTCTCACATAGACTCAAGGCCTGAAACTGTGAGAACTAGTAACCACATGTAGAAATGTTGACAAAATAAATTCAAGCAGGCAAATGTGTCAGAACAATGCTTGAAACCACTCTATTTTTTCTCTTAACAACAACCTGAGAAAACACTGAGCTGCCAAGGGAACTTCTCTTTGAACTTCGTAGTTAGAGGAATATCCAGGGACATAATGGGATGGCTGGGTTGACTTTCAACACAAAGGGTCACACTTTCAGCAACAATAGCCTGAAAACCACATGTTAACATACCAATAACGCAGGGACAAGTCAGGGCTAAACTTGACCTGCTTAGTGCTGGAGCGTGTTAACATGTGGTTAAGGAGTCTGGGCCCAACTAGAAAGGAAAGCTTAAACAGTTAGCACGCACCTTAGGCCACTACTGGCATTAATCAGGACCTCTCAACCGCATATTATCACAAGTGGTTCCCAAGGTCTTGTCCATATGTACTATGCAATAGCAAGTGAGGAGACTTGATGCCTGAGAGGAGTTTCATTGTGCAAACATAAAACATATTCCAGTTCTCCAGCCTACCATAGCTCTGAACATTACTTCGATAGATTTTCAGATCGATTGGCTTATAAGCCAATTTTGTGAATTATGCTGCCCTTTCATCTCAGTTGGACTTGAATATAGGTACCAGATGGTCTGGAAAAGGCTGGAATGGATAGCTAAGACAAGAACTTCCTGGCCTAAAGACTGACATGGCAAAACTGTTAATTTGGAAGGGGAACTGCTGTTCAGCACCTTGCGTCATGTGGTACCAAGGGCCTCAGTTGCAACCATGTCTGGCAAGTTTGGGTGAACCTTTTACTAAAGAATGTAGACACCGAGGCTGAGTAGCATGTTTTAACTACAGCCTGCTCAAGGGCATTTTGGTTCATCACCTTGCATGTGCACCAACAAGAAAGTCTGCCAAATCTGCTTATCTGGGGCCTAACAAGATAGGGATACTGCAGGAAAAGGCAGCTTCTTTTCAGATAATTCAAATTAAAGATTTTTCAGGCAAAGTATACTGCATAATTGGAAATACGTGTAATGGTTTAACTCACAATTGCCTGAAATTGCAAAATATTACATTATAGTTGTGGGGAGGAAACTACTAAGCACCTCAATATGTAACATCACTCGATCAGCCGTCTACTCAACATGCTAAGAATCCACCATCATAAGAATTTGATGTATTAAAAACACTAAACGGTCACCTTACATGTAGATATCCTGTTGCTATATTTTGGGGGGAGGTTTATCTGAACTTATATCCTGCTGACTTTACTATTTGGCCGTCTACATGCATCTGCCTCTGTGCAATCAGCAATTTGGGTCAATTTTGCTCTGCTGAAGTAGAATCTTCCAGACATACACCATACAAGGTCAAAATGGAAACTGTTGGATCCCAGAATGTCCCGATCCTGTTTCTTTTTATACTGGTGTGCACACTAACATGTCTTTTATTGCACTGGAAACAATTATCGTAGAAACAAGTATGGTATAAGTAACATCTTAAACATAACAGAGAATTCAGACAATTCATGATCAGTACATAAAACTTTGCTCAGGTTTGATGGTTGGGCTGAACTCGACATACCTGAAAGTTAGTATAACCTACCGTCAGATTTGGGATATCCCAAAAATGTCATTTATTTTGTATTCTATAACTTATTGTATAAGTAACTAGAGTTCCCCGATCTCATACCTTCGCCAAATGACTGACAAATTATAGATTAGATTATTCCCCCCTGATTTAAGAAATAGGAACCTAATTTTCATGAATTATATCATTTTATCATAATCTCAACCAAAAGACAGTCTTATATAAACAAACAAGGCATTCTAGTATTTCCTAATAAATTATGCAAATGAGGTCCTGATTTGAATAAATTATGTTTAATGATGTTCACCTCAACTTAACTTTCAAATACCATAAGTATGAAATTACAGGCAGTTATCATTACATAATTATAAAATTTTCTCATTAATTATGCAAATTAAGTCATTATTAACATAATCAATATCTGCCTGTGTTTCTCTCGTTGTCAATTACCAATGTCACAAGCTTCAATTGTCTTATTATGGAATGCAGCTGATTTATAGAATTTCCCCATAAATTATGCAAATTACATCCATATTTGCATAATTGTCACATAATTATATTAAGCATCACGTAAGCTACCTACATACCAAAAATCACGACGATCCGTCAACCGGTTATTGAGTTATCCTCTTTTGAATATTTTCAAGAATATATCCCTGCAGTTCCAGAGCAAGCCACTAGGGGGCCCAAACTCACGTCACTTCTTCCCCAGCACAAGAGCTCCCTACCACCCAAATTTCATCACCATAACATGTCTAGATCATGAGATATCAAAACCGGAAGTTCAGCTGCAGTACCATAACAAGCCGCTAGGGGGTCCAAAATCTAATCATTTTGAGGTCTCATCAAGACCTACCCACCTACCAAGTATCAAGACAATCCATCAAGGCCTTCTCAAGTTATCGTGTTGACAGACAGACAGACAGACAGACAGACACACACACACACACACACATACACGAACGCCTCTGAAAACATAACCTTCTTGGCGAAGGTAATTAGACTTGGGAATGAGTAAAGGCAAGGGCGTTCACCAAGCCTATAGAACAGCTCACCTCATATTCCTCATCCAGGATGATGGTCATTGTTTGGGGGTCAATCTTCACTGTACAGGGCAACAGTATCAGCAGTGTGAGATGTATCAAAGTCTTACTTCAGCATCAAAATATCAACTAGAAAAATATGTTTGAACCATGAATACTGGGCAGTCTTGAAGTGTTGATGGCACATGGAATCATTTGAGACAAATGGTAAAATTGGTAAATTTCACAACCCTACAACAATGCTAAATGATAGTAATCAATGCAATCATATAATATGCGCTATGATAAATGACTTATGTTAACCTGTAGTTTGCCATAGGGAATAAACAATGTACAAATGAATGTTATCCATGTGACATATATGACCAGGGCCATTCAAGCTCATGGATCACAGGCTGAAGGACATTCTGAACAAACTTTTCAACATGTAATCAAAGAATGTACAAAATTGACACAATCTGCTCTTCTTGCGTTACAGGGACTCAGAAGCTGGGAGATGGGCGATACTGTACCTACTTTAAGATTAAATATTCATAGCCCATCAGGTTAAAACTAGCATATCATGTTATTGTCAACAAGGCACAGTCAACATTTGCTGACTGGGTCTAAAATAAGGTAAAGAGTACACTTAAAAGACCAATAGGAAACAACCAGCATGGATTACCATATTGCCTGTTGGGTTGACTTTTAACCCAGATTATGTCATTTTTTTTACAAAACAGAAGAACAAGAGCTAACTTAGCTCAGAGGGAACATTGTTTTGATTTGTTCATTTATACACATTTAATCCTACAACAATGTCTGTACACAGCAGAAAACGTTATATTGTTCCCAATGGCTAGAGCAAAGCTACAGTTTCAGCAAAGGTCAGACTATAGAGGGCAAGTCTACAGTACAATATAAAGAATAGGAAGAAACCTGAACTCACTGCTGATAGCAGCATTGTTCTTTTCCTTCCGGAAACGGAACTTGCGCAGCTTCTCCTTGACCTCCGGGTCAATCTCACACACCTTCACATTTTGCGCCTAGAGAAGAGAAATCAAGGAAAGATGATCAGTTTGGTCTCTGCCTGTGATAGAAGATGGTAGTCCCAAAACCAGGCAGGCAAGTTCAAGTCATATTGAACTGAAAATAATGAACATCTGAGACTGTCCAGCAGCATACTGGGTGAGACAAAAATGTCCAAATGTGACAAGTCACCTGCTAACCAAACCTATTTTAGCTCCCACAAATTGCAGAGAGGATGTAGGACTCGGGAGCTAAAATAGGTTTAGTAACCAGGCTAAGAACCAAGACGTGAGACATAAAAATTCATATGCCATTACAATGTATCTCTGACACATGTAAAATTATGCAACTGTTAAAAGTCTGTGACATTTACATCATTGGTCACGATGTAACGTTAATAATTTGATGAGAAAATACTCTCAGAGATAAAACAATATTTAGTGCTTGTTAGATAAAAATTGTTACTAGTATTGGACAGGTGATGTGTATTTCCTATTATTGTTGAGACAGGCAACACTTAAGTGCCACAAACACAGCAGTGAATCATGCACACATAGCTGATGGTCTGACTTTTAAGGAGTCACCAGACAATCCTTGGCAAACAGACATGACTAGGTACTGGAAGTAAAAACAAAATCCATTCCCGTCCTGGAGGGGACAAATTGAATCAAATGCATTGTACCCAGAGACAGAGAGCTTGTGCCGGACACAGAAGGTTATGCACATACAGAACAAATATATCTGTACATGCCATGCATGGGGTGCTCAGGTTAACGACCATTCCCTTTGACTGCAAAATGTTAACCAAACACATGCCTATTCCTGTAACTGTAAGGAATTTCAGTACAGCCTCCAAAGTAACATTCATCTTTTCATTGCAGAATCTGCAAATCATACAGATCATACCAGTATTTCCTACAAAAGTTGCATACAGTTACTTACTTCTAGTACAATGTATATCATACACACACTTTCCTACAGTTGCTACTTAATTTCCTCCAACATCTCACCACAAGATACTGGTTCTTATAATCTCCCATGTTGGTAGCCCAGCAAGACTGTAGCAAATTCTCTGGTATGGTAGGGAGCTATGCCACTCACTGATGGCGAATAGTCCCAGTTCAACACAAGCAAACAGAGGGGAGAAAACAGTGACAGAATGAGACATGAAACAAATACGGGAAAATATACTTATAGAATTCCAATTTCTTATAATACATGTAGTACAAATAAGGTTGAACTGAAAAGTAAAAAAATATACTGGTATGCCATATGTGACATGCCTGACAAACTTCAGAAGATAAGGGTACTAATTTACTACTAAATGATAATAACAACTCAACTGAAGTAGAGCATATCATAGGGGAAATGTGTTACTTAGTATTCATTTTTTGCCAGGGCAGTCAATGCTTATCTGGAGCGAGGACTTTGAATATGTATGTTGGCTTCCATACATTGACACTTTTATTGTATTTTATTGATGTATCTAGAATATCTGTCCAACATGTATCAATAAATTAATGCCATAGGGAAAATCATCTTACAATGTTACAAGCACTGTTGTGAACTTCAGCATGAAAGTTCATCTGAGTTGGTAAATTACATTATGAAAAACTTAAACTTTTCTCCAACTCAAAATTTGACTCACTAGAACATAGACGACCCAGTTCTGTTGCATCTGACTGAGGTGTCACAGCACATCCACATAGAATCACCGGGACACACAGTGGATTTGGAGGGGGTCAGAATCTTGGATACCGAACAGGATTACTTCAAGAGAGGCATAAAAGAGGCCATATACATCAGGGCACTTCAACCATCGCTCAACCGGGACGGGGGGCGATATCGACTTCAGACAACCTTTGACCCTTTGCTGACGTCACACGTGGGAAAAATCATGTGTCCACAGCATTTGGGTCAGATAGCTGAGGAAGACTGAGTGATTCGGTCGAAAATTTCTGGTGAGTCAAATTTTGAGTTGGAGAAAAGTTTAAGTTTTTCATACTGTTGTGAACTTGTTGTAGACTGATCAGTTCAGTCAAGTAACAACACTCATCTTTCCTTTTCTTGGATCAAAGGTCAGCAAGAAACAAGGTCATTTGTCAAAAATCAATAGAACTGTTCAACACAATGTGTCTCTGTAGACAACAGTTAGACATAAATCTTGAAGATTTCTATGTTTTCTACACAACTTTGGAGCCACCTAAAACAATGTGTTTCGATTCTTGATTACTTTAGTTAGTATTCACCTTCTAGAGTTTTACGTTGTTGAGAATCATGTGCCACGCACATGATCCTTGCATCATTTCCTTACAGGTAAATATGTCATCAACACACCACTTATCCAGCAGCAACATGTTTTGTCTGGTGTCAAATGTCTATTTGTCCTCAAGATACAAACCAAGCTTCTCTAAATTTACTTGACTTTAGATATGCTGTTTCCTGTGGATATAACGGGCAAAAACAAGCATTTTCCTTGAAGAAAAATCTGATAACTCATACGTTTACTGAACTCGGCCCACACCTAGGTGTGATCAAGAAGTATGAAAATGCAAATTGTTATGATCGTGTTCTGTCGCCGAACTGTCTGGGTCGCGATGATCGTGACCTCGACGTACAGGAACTTTCCGCCGGGTGACGATTTAGTCAACGTTGGACTATAATTCGGCACATTCCTAATCGCTTTTAAAGCAAAGTAAATTGAACAGAGTAACAGAATGTCATAGATATTCGCAATACCGTGGTTAGAGCACAACAAATTTTTAAAGTACGCACCATTTGCCTGATTTGTGTCCTCCTTTCAGTAGCCCCCTCCCACTTCTTCAGAAACCGGAAGTAGATGAAGAAATGTTGGAGAATCCCACTTGGAATATTCCATATAAAAATAGGAAGGTTACGATATAGCTTGTATCTCTAATGAGTTGATTTCAAATAATCCTTTCAAAACTCTAAAAGAATCCTTGAAAACAGTTTGAAAAATTATTAAGATAAGATATTTACTATCTTACGTTGATTTTATGTACAGATGAAAAAATTAGAAAATTTTGTCACCCCTTCAAAGAGCGTTGCCACTGCTTTGTCGGGTTACGCATGGGCAGAAAGTTTGAAAGGCGCCATCTTGGAATGTGCAGACGGGGGCGGTACTGCAGGTTCTGTGGGCAGTGTGTGAGTCACTGCCGTACAGACGAGAAGCGATCGGTCGCCGACTAGCAGCACAGCAGTCGTACCAACACACCACACCTTTTGTCGGTCTCCTGTCGAGAGCTTCCGTCTGCTAGAGACAAGCTAAGATTCCTTCCTGCCTTTCGGTATCATCGGCCGCGGGCCTGTCGATCTCTGAGCCCGAGTTCGGACTTGCCTTGTTCCTGCAAAGTTCCTGGACCAGACGGTCGCGTCGCGGCGATCGCCCGGTTTGTAAGCGTTTGCAGTGTTGGCTAATCACGTCGACCTACAAACCGTGAGTGCGGAAGCTCGCCGGTTGTTTCCCAAGAAATCTAACGTCCTGATCGGACCGCCACCGGGCCGTTATGTAGCGGACACCCACCGGCCTGTCCCGCGCTCTTATTTGGGAGGTGGGTGTTTTGATAACCCGTGCACGAAGAGCGGTGAGCTCACGGGTCCGGCAGCAACTATGGCCTCGGCACCGGTCGAGTTGGACGGGGACGTAGACTGGAAGGCACGATGCCTGACTCTGGAGGGTCAACTCATCAGATTCAAGTCCCAGGCCAGTCGGATACGGGAACTGCTGGCTGAAAAGGTAAGACACACTTAAGAATCCGTTGGACATAACGTTAATGTGTAAATAATAATAAAATCGACTGCATGTGGCACTATGAAAATTCAATAATTGTCCCGCAGAGGATTCAAACCATTCCGTTTCCAATACCCACGTACCACACATCCAGCCTGTCTTTGCGCTGCTGGATGCGAGGTTACAGGAATTTTATACCTGACACCGATAGGGTCTTCAGAACGGTGGGAACGGGACCTGGGCTGGGAAAGAGTAGCTTTGTTTGCCTTTTCCTCGAATTGAGGGGCTGGGTATCAACCTTCAGGTGTACATGTAGACTGATGAGAGTGTTAGAGGATCGGTACGATGGTGTGTTTATGGTCCTGTCCTCCATCTTCCTGCATTAGAACAGCCAGTGGAGCCCACAAAACATTTCATTGGTGACATTTAATCCCCTCTGTCAGTTCCTGTGTCTGATTACAGCCCCCCTTGCATATTTTGGCCACACTGACCACCAAGCTAAAGAACACTAACAGCAACATGCATCCAACCGAGATGGTGTTTGTTGTGGTTCCCTGCTTGACGTGGAAGTTCAGGATACATCTGCGGGGTGCAAGGCCTTGTCTAATGATTGTGAATGTTACATTGCATGTAAAATTGGATGCCAAATAATTTTTGTCATAAGCACATGTAACATTATACAGTTTTTCAATGTAGACAGTGTTTTAACATCAGTAAACATCATGCATTCAGAAAATCAGATGTTTTATTTCCTGTAATGAGAAGAAAACTTTTAACAGGACATTAATCTCTGCTCTATTTGTAAACACACAGTAAGACTATACATCACATTGCCGTGGGGCTCAGGAGGATGAGTGTTTCTTACATTTACAGGCAATTGTCATCAAAGCCCTTTGTCACATGCTCCTCAGAGAGCCAGTGTTCATTTCTGTGGTAAGAATGCAAGCCTTTTTGACGAATTGTCAGATCCTCCAGTGGCTGTGAGAAACTGAATAGTGGAGGTCCGTGGGGTTGTGTGGAACATGTCTCATCAGGATGTCCGTTGTTGCTGTTATAATCCTAAACTGGTGACATCATATAACCCAGGCCAGAGGACCCAGCTGGATCAAATCCCAAATGGCAGACAATAATAACAGCTTCCCCCATTTCCCTGGATGTTAGGAGACCAGCTTCATCTCTCCCAGGCAGAAGAGTCATCTATATTCAGGAGTTACATTTGACGACCCCAGGTTTACTAGCAATTATCAGGCTTGATCATATATTTTCTATGACAGACATATATGACACGTCCCCTACCCTCCCTCGTACATGTTTTTGTCAAATTTTATGTAGATGATAGGACTGATCTGGGATTACAGAACAGTAACACATGTATTACTTTTAGCAAGCAAGGATCAAAAGAAAACTGTCAACACTACCTCTGGGTACTGCAGGACATCAGTGGTTCTCCCAGGAGCTGAGTGATATGTAAAGCCACCCACAACACCTATGGATTAGCCTGAGAATCAATCTTGTGTCATTGTTCAGTAAGAAGATAACAACGTTCTAGGCAAGTGTTATCCTGGTGGGTAGGGTGTATCTGTGCACAAGTGTGTAATCTGTGTCAGTGGCACAGCAGAATGTTACTCTTGTCGTACCTCCCTGTATTTGTTTTCCTTGTTCCAGGTTGAAGAACCTCACATGTTTGTGTGGGACTAGACGTTACACTAGTTTTAGTGCATGGGGGCATTGCCGCATAGTATTTGGCAGAATTTAAGGAGTGCCACGCAGTTTGGCATGCACTGAGAGGTTATAGCAGACACTGTCTGTAGCAAACCAACTCTGTATATAGGAAATGTTAGCATGATGTCATTTGTGGTGTCAATTACGCCCTTGGAAGTTGCTGGTGCAGTATTGTTGGGGTCAGGTACAGAGTTGTGCTTTTTGTTCATGGTCAACCCTAAGTCATTAATCAGTGTGTACTCACTGCTACTGTTAACTTGGTACAGACTTTCAGGTGTTGTTAGCTATGGAGTCAGTGGTTGAAGGCAGTGTTAGAAGGACATCCTGTTTAGCTCAACTATACAAACCCAGACTAACTGTTGTTTCTATTTGTCTCGCTTCCGTAGAACCTAGATCAAAGGGGTCTCCAGAGACATGATTTATTATTTTTATTTATGGTAGACAATCAAAGGTAGAAAGAATTGTAGGAGTGCTGGTCTTCTCACTTGGTAGTAACAGGGAATTCCTTACATTTTAGAGTGACAGCTAAATGAGCTATTCAATCACCAGATTGAAGAAAGGGACAGGTCACTTCAAAACCCTAACCAGATTGATTTGTGTCCATCCTTAATTTGCTTTGTCATTGGATTTGCATCTTACAATATTTGGCAGCCATATCATGCCATGAAAAATACATGCACAGGCAATGTAGGTCAATATCTGAAGTAGATTGCAGTTTGCACTTTGTGTTGAAAATGTGTACCCAATTACTTAAAGCACATTGAACCCAGGGCAGATGTCTGGTAAATAAAGAATGCTGCATGTAAAAGCTTTACAAAATGATTTTTGGTGTGTAAACTGTAAGAAGATGCCTTAATTGCAGTTCCAACAGTACACATCTTGCTTAATGAAAATGTAGAAATATACCCTGGAATTACCAAGAAAAATGTTTAGCCAGACAGCTGACTCAAACATCCTGAGAAAAATAAACAGTATTTCTTTTAGTGGTGCATTCTGACTGTGTTGAGTCCTTTCAAGTTGGCTCTCTGCCCCATTGAACAGTCTCCAATGGAGCTGTAAGGTTTGGTTTTGAAAAGCTGGATTTCCCGTGTGACTGTAAGTCTTGCATGGGAACCCTCCAGCTCTCCAGATGAAACATGGCTTGACATTTGTTCTTCCAGGATGTGTACAGTACCTTTGTCTGGGGAATAATGTACAACTTGTGCCATGTTTGACAGAGTCTGTTTCAGTTTCCATAGTCAGGTCCTCAGTAACTCAAACAAATTTTGAAAGCTGCTTTTTCCTGTCTGTGTTGAGTCCTGTACTGTTGAGTTGGTAGACAGTAATAAACGTTGGTCTGTAAGAACTCAAGTTCAGGCTGTTAAAATCAAGATATGTTATAATTGCTGTTTTCTCTTCCTGTTTCGTAGGTATGGGAATTAAGGTCCTGTCTTTCAATCAGATATGAAATGTAGCTTTGGCTTTTCTGTAATTCTTATTCTTTGTTTTCAGTTAACAAAAATTTGTTTTAATGAATTTAGTTAGATGTTTTACTTTACTCTTTCAAAAATGAGCTGTAGTCAGCCATTAGTGACTTTACAATGTTGTCTGGGATGTTGGGATGACGGAAGCCAAACCCTCGTCAGGCGATGCAATCAACAGTAATTTGATTTCAATAGACGTCATTCAATTGCTATATCTCCTCATCTCTGTAGTGGCCATAACATGTCAGGAGCCATTACATTTACAGCATGATCTGGTGGGAAGTTTCTTCTTGTGCCTTTTTACAGTTCACTTTTGCGTTAAGCTAATCTTACAGCCTACTTTCAGCTCTTAGTTTGACACAATGATGCTTTTTATTTGGCAGTTCTGTGCAGTTGTTGAATTCATTATGGCTAGATTTCTGTACCACCTGTGAAATATTTGCATAAGTTGAAATTATACCTTCTGAGAAGACATGTATATTTTTATCGTTAATCATGCCACTACAGTTTACACTAATAATCTTCCGGATAATCCGATTTGTTTATGTAAAAGGTGAGGAGTGGGGGTGGCAGAGAAAAATGCTATGGTAAGGTGTCCCTGACAGATTCAGGCCACCATAACTAGACACACAGCCCTGTGATATGATATGGTCAGCATGGAAGGTTGGCTTGCCCTCCCCACATGTCCAGTGGTGAGGTTTGTTGTGTTGTGATAAGAACCACTGTTTGTACAGAGTGAAACATAATTTCTAAGTGGTCCTTTAGTTGGCAAATATCAAACAGTAGTAACCTCCCTAAAGGTCAGAAAGGTGTAGGTGGGAGGGTAAGCAACTGAAATCCCAGCATTAAGCTAGATGCATGCTATCAAGAAAGTGATGTTTTTAGATATATATAATACAAAAGTCTGTTGATCTTTCCTGCCAGTATCAAGTTATGGCTAGATCACAGAGATAGCAGTGTTTTTCTGGATTCAACCATCAACATGTATTTGTGGGTCCAGGTTGGTAAGGAAGGACTGAGAGAGGAGCATGTTGTAATCATCACAATACCACCTCCTGCCATACTATGTGACTGTATTCTATACAAAAATAAGTCAAATTCGACAAATTTTCTCTCCATTGTTTAGAGAAGAGATAATGGCTGAAAATACTCCAATTATTGTATTTTCGGTGAGTTATGATATTCTTATTTATGCACCTCTGGTATCCATGCCAGACGATGGGTCATCTGGAGCCAACCATAATGTGGTCTATCACTAGTATCAGTATCGTGCAGATTGAGATCTGGCACATATTAAAGGTCATCACATACCATCCTCAAAGGTAACAACAAGTCAAGAAGTAGGTCATATGAAACACATGAGATAAGAAGTACTACATAGTGTTATTAATTTATGTACTGCAAGTGACAAGTTAATTGGCAGAGAATATGGGGATATCTGAACAGGTTAGGTAGGGCTGTGCTTTATGGGAAAGCAAGTCCTGCCCTTTCACCTTCCTCTGGCCAGGTGGAAATGTTTACCTCTCGTGGTTAGACTTGTAACAGTCAAAATTTGGCCAACCGTGTATGTGAAGGTTTTTTCTTGACTTGGGAAGTAGTGATGAACTTTTCATGTATCTAGTGTGTGTTTTATTTATCACCTTACAACTACCATTTCAAGGGTGATAAGGGTTATAAAAAAATACTAGTTATAGCAGACATTTTAGCAGACAGCATTCTGGATCTACCACTGTCCTCAGTATTATAAGTTCTGTTACATATTATCAGTGAGTGATGCTTTCAAAGATGAAAGCTTCCGATATTTATTGGTTCTGAGTCATG